CCCATATTCCAGAAGAGAAAAGGCAAAAGTTAGATGACAAAGGAGAAAAATGCATTTTTCTTGGTGTTAGTGACCAATCAAAAGCTTACAAGCCATACAATCCTAGTAACAAGAAAATTATTGTCAATCGAGATGTTTTTTATGAAGAAAAGTTTTGGCCATGGATCAATGATGTTGGACTGCAAATTCCGACTAATTTTGATGGAGAGAATGAATATGGAAGACGGCAACCAATGGGTAGTGAACAACTAGTTCCAACAACTACACAAGAAGAACGTTCTCAACGTGCTAGAAGGAGACCTGCATGGATGACTGATTATGAGGTAGCTAGAATTGATCAATTCGAGGACCCGCTTACACATTTTGCACTGTTTTCAGACTGTGATCCTGCCACTTTTGAAGCGGCTATCAAAGAATCAAAATGGCGGAAGGCAATGGATGAAGAAATTGCAACAATTGAAAGAAATAATAATTAGGAGTTGACTAAGCTTCCAAGAGGGCACAAGACAATTGTTGTCAAATGGGTATACAAGACAAAGTTATTAGAGAATAGCGAAGTTGACAAGTACAAGGCGTGCTTAGTAGCTAAAGGCTATAAGCAAAAGTTTGGAGTGGACTATAGAGAAGTTTTTGCCCCTATTGCACGCCTTGATACAATTAGATTGGGAATTGCATTGGCAGCTCAAAACTCATGGCCTATCTTTCAGTTGGACGTGAAATCAGCATTCTTACATGGGGATTTGGACGAACAGGTATTCATCGATCAACCTCCTAGTTATGTTAAAATTGGAGGAGCATAATGTGTATAAATTAAATAAGGCACTATATGGACTAAAACAAGCTCCAAGAGCTTGGTATAGTCGTATAGATACTTAGCCCTTGTTTGATCCCCATTTTGGGAGAAATAATGCATTTTGAATAGTAGATTGATGGAGAATGTATAGTTAAAAATTAAAGAAAAGTTTGAATTTGCGTGTAATATTATTTTATTGAATTAAGCTGAGTGTACAACAATTATGTTGACAGCCCACTCACAAGAGTGGGCTCCATGATTATTTTAATAGTGGGGTCCACTTAATTGATATGAGAGCGCCTAAAAAAAATGATGTAAAAAGTGCTGTACTTGTAGCACAATTGTATTTTATTGAAGAATGTCTGGTTGAAAATGAATTTTGAAAAAATGAATTTTTAGAATAAAGAGAATCAAACAAGAGCTTATTTTCCTAAGAAAGGTTTTAAGAAGTGTCCATATGAGCATGTGCTTTTTACAAAGACTGGAGATGGGGGGAAAATGCTTATTGTTTGTTTATATGTGAATGACTTAATTTACACTGGAAATGACAGTGCCATGTTTGAAATTTTGAAGAAGTCCATGATGGTTGAATTCGATATGTCTAATCTTGGAATGATGCATTATTTTCTTGGAATAGAAGTATTGCAATCTGGTGCTGAAATTTTTATTTCTCAAAAGAAGTATATACGAGAAATTTTAGACAGATTTCAAATGAAGAATTGCAATTTTGTTAGCACATCAATTGAAGTGGGTTTGAAGCTTATAATAGATCCTGGAGGAAGAAGGGTTGACAGCACCCTCTACAAGCAAATTGTGGGAAGCTTGATGTATTTGACTGCTACAAGACCCGATATAATGTATGTTGTAAGTCTCATCAACAGATATATGGAATGCCGAAGGAAGATGCATCTTCTAGCTGCAAAAAGGATTTTTCGCTACTTAAAAGGTAGCGCTGTTTATGGGTTGTTTGACAGCATCCCATGTCCAGCAGTGTTATCCACCAGAACATCGATAGTTGAAAGAGGAGAAGAAGCTGCTCTTGGCATTTTGCTTGGCAGCTAGCATGATGTTTGCACATTGTGTAGTGCTTAATTTATAGCTATTAACTGTTGTGTAATTGCCTATATAAAGGCTTGGATGGAATGAATGCAGTGTGCCAAAAAATTAGAACTCAGCGTTCTTTTCTTTATCTCTTTTACAACACTCACTGTATTAGTCAGATTATTTTGTTCAAATTACAAGCATTGGAATAAAGAAAATTAAAATACTCCAGCACTACATATAGAAAAAAAATAAAAAATAAAAAATAAAAAGTAAGCCCATAAATAAGTATGAAACAAGGGACACAATAAACATATAAGCAAATATAGTATTCAATGGGGTTAACAGAGAAACACATACAACTGACACCTAATACTTTATTAATGAGAAATTGATTAAAAACTGACCAGAACGCAGGGAAGCTTGGAGAATCCGCTTGAAATGGAAGAACCTACTAATTGAAATTCTTTCTGTGAGAGAAAATGAGGGAATGGAACGAGTAATCTGAATAGGCGAAGATGGAGCTGGACAAGCAAATAGCGCCATTTTCGAGAGAGTGAGAAACTCTGCGCAATAGAACATACGACCGAGATGGGATTTTTTTTCTGTTTCGCTTTTCGCCGGCGATCTTAAATCGCGACTTAATTATTAATCGCGTTGACGAACAAGATACTTGTGTGTTTGCATTGATTCTCTTTCTTTTTCTAAAAAGGTAGATTTTTTAGAGGATTAACGAAAGTGCTTTTAGATAAGTCGTAAATAATTGAGGTGTAAACGTGTAAAATAAGCCAATTATTTGAAAACTTTCTTTTTACACATTTTTTCAACCACGCTATGAAAAATTTTACAGGTAAATTTAAATTTTTTTACTACTTTTAACTGCACATTATTCTAAAATCATTATTCAAAACATTATTTTTCTCAAATAATGATTAACAAATCGGGCTAAATTATATTAAGTGGTGATATCTTGATTTTTCTTTTTAAAGGATATTTGTACCGAGAATCAAGAATTAAATATTGATTTAACTCAATCAATTTTTTTACTCATTTCTTATGTTTATTAATCGATTTACACTAATGATTTTTACAAAATAATACTTTGATTTATTGTTGATTTTCAGAATAAAACTGTCCCTCTTTCATGGCCTTTAATTTAATTTAATTTAATTGACTTCAATTTATTTCTCATTCTCATTTACAACTACACTTTGTAAAATATTTAACATTAATCCAAAAATTTTCCATATTTTTTAACCACACATCCTCCAAAACATACTATTCACATAATTTTTTTCAAATTAAAAGCCACCATATTTCGATTCTTAGATGTGATAAAAATTTGTAATGCAGTTCGTATTAATAACTTAACAATTGGGTTCTGAATGGAAAGTGTGATGTGTCCACCAAATCTGGAAAAAAAAAATGACTTTTACATATCCGTCGGGCGTCCGCCCAATACCAAAGTTAGTTTGCCATTAACATCGAGTTCAGCAGACAAAATTTGCAAGGAAAATGTGCAACTCATCTTCCAAACCGTTGAACTCTTCGCTGTCGTAATTCATCTAGAGTAAGGTCATCAGAACGGGAAAGAGTATCCAAGCCATCACGATGTGTCCCACACACTTCACAAACACTTAACCAATCTGAATTGTCAAAGGTACATGCTTGACATCTCCATACACCAGATACAAGTCTCGACCGACTCCCACCAACAGTCCCCGCACCATGAATTCTCCTTCGTGAAAAACGAAACATGCCCAGGACAGATTGTAAAGGCCACTTTAGAATACTTGTCACGCCTCTGATTATCTTCGTCAAGGGATCAGGACCCGAATATGAGGATCGTAAATATAAATAGAGAAGGCCTGCAAAAATTCCCCCAAGATGGCCGAGGAAAGAGACTCCCGGAACAAACATTTGGATGAGGATAAGCTCTGCCCAAGCAGCATAACGAGACGGTACCATTATCCCTTGAACGTATGTATAGTCATCTGACTGGGAATAGAGGACAACCTTCATGGCAAAGAGCACGCCAGAAAATCCCACAGCATATTCGTTGTAATAGGCTCTCTCATAGTCGAAAAGCAAAAGAAATTTAGCTAGCAGTAGTGTGATTCCTTGGGACATACCGACTAAAGTGGCAATCATAGATGCATATTCAACACTTCCCATAGAATTCTCCAACTGGATTCCCTTCCATAATAGTGATAACATGTTATAAACAAGGTGAGAGTCACCAATGTGATAGAATGCTGACAAGAGAAAGCGCTTCAGATCCTTGTGCTGTTCCAACAAAACGGAAATTAATCATATGAGAAGACAAGCATACTAGGGACAGGTACGCCTAAGTCCTAAAGTTTCGAAAAAGTCTCAGAAACGGACAAGGCTCCACTTCCCTGGTCACAACCTAAGTTAATAAAAGATGCCAAACTTTAAAAATAAAAATAAATAAAAAATAAATTTAAGGATGAGCAAATAAGGTTGTGTTTTAGCCTAACTTTTTGGAAAAACAAATTTTCTTTACAAAATAAGATTATCCCAACACATTGGGAAACAAAAAAAGTAACTTTTTCTTCTTCTCAAGCTTAAACAAGCATAATCCCTTCCCCACCACCATCGCCACCATCAGTCAATGCCACCGCTCAACTGCAACAACACTACCACCACTCTCAACAACACCATGCCCCCCATAGCCGGGTGAGAATAATAGCTATTGTTGCAACACCGAAAATCGAATTCACCACCATTGGTGCCACCACTCATCAAAACACATACTAATATCACCGTAGTCCCGTAGGAATCATGATTCGCCATTATCTCACCATGCCACACGGCCATTAGTTCATCCATAACGAGTTATTAGCCACCACAATATGTTGATGGATACAAAAAGGTGAACCAATTACATCAATCAAAACTATTTCCAAATATGTGACTTTAACAAACCCTTCTGCATCCATTTTTGGCCCTAGAACTGAATACAAATAAATAAATAGATAAACTATGTGAGATCATCTCCCACTGCCGCCACCAAACTACCTCCGCAACCATCACACCACCTCCCACCTCCCACCACTACCACTACCAACCCCAACCCCTCTCTCCCCCCACCGCTACCAACCGTTTTCCCGATCCACCTACCCATCCATCCATTCGTTCTTGATTAATATTTCAAGAATTAACAGCGTTTAAGCCGCCAAAAAGGTTGAATCAATTAAAAAACAGAGCCAATGAATAAACTGGAATTATCAAATCAATGACCCTTACTTAGATCAATGCAGCACCAGAGAAGATTAATTTCAACACCCACAGATAAAAAAAAATCCTATTAACTGGAGTAATTCAGAGTAGAATAAAATCTCAAACAATTACAGGAAACAAATGATTAAGTACGGCTATTACCTTGAGGATGAGGTGGGGATTGAACCAGACCTCATTAAGAGTAGGAAGAATCCGATCGAAGTGCCCAGGTCTCAAGTAAATTAGGGTGTTGGCCGCTATAAGCCCCGCCGTGACAGGCGGCTTTCTGTCCAGTCTGCAGTACTCGCTCAACGCGTGCAGCGCCAGTAACGGAAGCATCCCACCTCTTCGCCTTCCTCCGTTCATCTCTCTCGTCCTCTTCAACTCCTCCCCGTCACAATCAATTGCAGATTCAAATTTGTAGAATTTGGTTCTCAATGGATTTTGTGGGTGGAAATCCAAATTTGCTATTATTTCAATTACTTTTCTTCGTCAGGAAGTAAATGCTGGATTGTTCCAGAATAATCCGAGGAAATTCAGGTGTGTCCTGATTTCGGCCTGGCTCAAATGGCTCAGCCCGTTGAGCCAGCTCAAATGAACCGTTTTCGCTGTTAAAAATGGGATTTGCAAAACATCTGAGCGTGTATTTACATATTACACCCTACATTTCAGTAATTAACATTTTTTATGCTCTTTTTCTGAATGCTAAGTATTAACAACCATTTTCCAAAAAATAATTATTAACATCTAATAATGTCAATATAAAAGTTAAATTAACTAAAATATTCATAACTGAAAATAAAAACCACATTCTATATTAGAAGTGGGCATTTGAATCAAAATTGAACCTCTCAATAGGAACCGAAGATTAGAGGCAAAGCCAGGACAATACGAGGGGGCGCGGCCGTCCGTGTTGGCTCTGCCGAAGTTTGTAGTGACCATCGGCCCGCTGGATGGAATTTACAGCGGTAGTCGGTGGAAAAAAAATTGAGGAAGCTGAAAAATTGCTTTGATGTTTTGGGGTTTGTTTAAGTTTTGGACTTTTTTTAGGGCCTATAAAATGAGGCCAAAATCCCAATTATGAACCCACAATTAGTTGACAATCCAATTGAAAAAACAGATTTCATTTGCAATTTGCAAACCCTCGTTCTTCTTGCTCAAGCAAGGCTACGATTACGAACCAACGGACAGTGAACAATCGAATTAAGTGAGACTGTAGACTAGTCTGTTTGTGAGAGAAGAAAATAGAAGAATAAGAAAGGTAATTATTCTTTTTCTATTTGATCATTTGGAGTTTCTGAAATTTACTTATTGATTATCTAACAACTTATGATGCAGAATTGCCGAGAGTTAGATGGGTGCTTCCTGAATCCTACTTGGACGTCAAGAAGAAGGATTGTGGAGGTATTAACCTCCATTCTATTTTTGCTTGTGTTTGTTCGTTAGTGCTTATTTTTCTTTGTAGTGTTTGGGAGAAACTTTATTGCTTATCACCACAACATGTGTATGATGCTTATTAGTTGTATTTCTTATTTTGTAATGAAAATTTCCCTTGCACCTAACATACTTAAAACCATCCATTTTAACCAAGACTTCAGTCTCCAACTGGTTCGTTCAATTTATTTTTGGTTAATGAGAGGTGTAATCGTGTACTTAAAAGATACAATGCATTTTTTATTGGGCTAGAATTATTACTTTCTCCACTTTGCCGGTAAACTTTTGGGTTCATTTTGTGTTGCATTTTATATTGTGCGTGGGTAATGGGTGTTACTGTTATTAAGTCCTAGGAACGTGTTCATGCTAAGTTCTATAAAATGTTGACAAATGTTTGCTAGTAGTTATTAGTTTATGGATTAACTGTATGATCTTAGAGTAGATGTAGTGATGGACGAAACAGATTGCCTACAAAAAGGTTCATACAATTGATAATACATAGTTAAATTTTTTATTTTTTGGATTCAATTGAATGACTTGAATGTGGATGTCAACTGATGTGAAATGTTATTGTACAGTGCTTGCCTCTAGAAAGATAGGAAAACCAACTCTTTTCAAGGTTATGAATTTTGTCATTAGAGAAGTCTTGCAAACCATGATATTTAGTTATCACTTTAACATGTAGTTCTTATTTCTGTTGTCTCTCAAGTCCCCTTCATCATGTACCATTTTGTGCTGTTAATCTGTGTGGGAAACTCTCTTTAATTGAATTTGGTTCTTGTGCTTTACGTTATGTAAAAAGGCAAATAGAAGGGGAAAGAAATAAAAAGGCAAGTATTAGAATCAATTTGAATCGAAAAATTTTAGTTGTGTAAATGGTCAACGATGTCAAGATCTGCCCTAACTGAACTTTGGCCCTGGATTCGTCACTGCAGAAGATCCAATTCGATTCCAAAAAAATAAAAAATTAGGAACCAAAACCTAAACCAATGGGTTTCACGGTTTTGGTTCTTGAACTGACGGGGGTCCCGACTTGATGAAAGGTCTAGACATCGAGTGGATCGTTCCTGGTATTTCAATTTTCGAAATCATCCATTACATATTGAATATTTCGTAAATGGAACCATTAGCGCCTGCGTACTCTTGCAGGCTCTATACCTTTCAAATATAAACACTCTCCAAGACGCCCTCTTCATATTTGCTTATCAATTTCACTAGCTTTGGATCGAATTTTGGTCGACCATCTACTCCCACTTCAAGTAGAAAGCCAAGAAGATTTGAAAGTTTGTCTTGAAAAGTTGATGGCCTGCCATCCACATCCAATCCCACTACACGAACAAAAAATGTTAACAGAATTTATCTCCCAACTGGCGTGGCTGCTACCTTTTTGCATTTAACAATTCTTCTCAAACAGGGCCATGTAGGCCCTTTTCCATGTCCCCCCTATTGGTAGGCCTGCCTACCGGGGCCTATTTCCCAAGCAAAACTCTTTTTTCTTTTTTATGTTCCATCCAATTTGTGTCTTTCCTTTGCCACATTAGAATTTTTAAAACCCTGTCAAAACTGTGGGTCATTGACCCTGTCCAAGAAGCTTAATTGATCCACTTCATTCCTTCAATTTACTATGTGCTGGAAAGACTGGACTATGTATGAATAAAATTTCTTATTCTTCAAATGATTACAAAAACAGACTTCTAATCTAAATTAGAAAAGGACAATGAAACTGTATATTATTAAAGTTTCTTCAAGAACTTTTATAAAAAACCTCTAATTCTACACTTTCCGATTTGGAAAAAACCTCTAAAAATATATATCCCATTCAAATTGTTTAAAAAGTAAAACAGAAAGTTCCACACTGGATCGAAAAAGCTAATCTTCAGTTCGAGCAATTTTCAAATTCATAAGAAGACAATGAGCTGTTGAACAACTTCAAGAACTGGAACACGGCTTAACCTCGACTTCTCACCCCATCGTATTGGCTCATATGCATTGTATAAAGATCCCGGCACAAATTAACTGAACAATCAGTATCAGCACTTCTCTGAGTTACACCCCTCGAAAGTGAACTTGGTTTTCTACGGTATTGTAAATCCTCATAAGAACGCCTCTGCATGCTATGAGTGTTCAACAAATAAGTGCGTGGTTTCTGCTTAGCCTTGATTGATTCTGTTAAACTCATGTAGCTGGGATTATTACCCTGTCCTTCAGAATTAGTTGTGGATGAATTTGATGTTGTACTCTCATCATATGGAAATTCAGTACATTGATCAGAAGGGGAGCAAGTAATTTGACGACTTATTGGAACTCTTGAGGATTTTTTTGTGGAAATGTTATTGCGTCTGATTCTCACTGAATCATGATCCGATGAACTTGAAAGCAATTCAACAACACGATCTTCATATTTCGTCGAAATTGGTGTTGTGTCTGATGAGTTGTTATTGAGTTCTTGCATCAACCTAGTCTCCCATGGCTTCGTTGCCATCCACTGGTCTAACAAATCGTGACTTGAACTATTATTATCCGCCTTCTTGGGAGTAGCCATTTTGTTCGTTCTTGAATTTGAGATGGGCTTTTCTCTTAACTGCTGAAATAACAAACAAAAGGTGATAACAACGTATTTATGAAATATATAAGTTCAAATCTGTCAATGCATTCTATCACTAACCTGATGAGAAAGGATATATGCCATTTCTCTCTCCCTCTTAATGGCTCCTCCTTGTTTCATTTGTACCTTAGACCTTACCTCTTCGAAATTCCCAAGACTATCACACCATCCACTCTGCAATTGACAGTTCAAACAAACTTGAGCCTCGTTTGCAATTAATATTGGGGAGGACTAGATGAATAAGTTTTCGCCATTCTGTTCATTGCTAAATTTATTGGAATATAATATATAATTAAATGTATTATGTAACATAAAATAAATAAAAGCTTGCAACTATTCCTACCTCAGCCTGCTTAATAGGATCAGCTTCAACATGATTCTTTGTGACCTCCCCCTCGACTGATGTTTGAACGCAATGAGACCTAACTCGGGCCTGAACTCTAACAAGAGCCTGCATGCATCTAAGTGTTACATCGGCTTGCTTCCTAACCATTCGACCACGAACTATAGCTTGTAGTCTAACCAATGCTCTCAACGCCCTTAAAGCACGTTTTGCCTTCATTCATATTAAGAATTTCAGAGAGAGAAGTCATTTCAAATGGAAAAAAGTATAGTATAGTAGCAAACTTTAGCTTGTTAGATCCTTACGAATATTCGGTAACACAAATAGCAGGAGACAAACAATGCATTCAGCTCGATTAATGTGGCATTCTCAACTCCAAACAATCTAATAAAAATGAAGTCTTAACAATTAACAAAATAAATCTGATTTTAACTGCAAAGCAACTCCCTTCACGGCACATCTTTGAATGCCCGTGTACTTGGAATCAATTGTTCACGCAATAAAAATCCTTCTCGCCTTAAGCAAAGTTCCGCTTCTACAACTAGAACACATGTTTCAGAGTCTAATTCATGTAAAAAAAACTAGAGGGTTCTTAGTTATTACCATTCCCAATTTATTTTTCTATAAAATATCTGATTACTTATTTACTTTATTAAATCGAAAGAACATATATCCCAATTGATACTAAAAACTGAATCAAAATACCCAAAGAATGAAAGGAACCGGGATTACCAGAAAAGCTCGAAAGATAGCCTGGATTCGAACAGCTGCCCATTCTTGTCTAAGCACCATGAAATCCTTGTGTGGAGCTCTAATTACTGTAGCCACAGCAGCAGCCATTTCACCATCAAAGATAGAGGAAGACGATTCAGAAACCTCGGACAAACTTCCCTCCCCTTTACCCCCCTTCAACGCCATTGTTATGCCTCCAGATGCACTCCTCCACAGCTTCCACCTCCTGCCCTTACCCCCATCCTTCTCCTACACCCAGATATTTATATTATGAATTAAGACTTCAATCCAACTACGAGTGCGATGATAATCGAAACAAACCCACAAAAACGCAAAGATCAGACAGAATTTTGCACGAAGACGAGTAAATGGTTTCTTTTTTCACGCCTCTCATACACACAAAATAACTCAAACAGAATGTTAAGACTACTTAATATATGAAAAGTAGGAAACTCAATTTACTTGTGGCAAGCAAGGTTGCACCACAACATATGAATTAAGCTCAGCACAGTTCAATATAAAAATCATTGCATAAAACACCAAAAAAATCATATAAAGACAAAACAAAGATTATTAGGCTCAAAACAGTTCAATATAAAAATCATTGCATAAAACACCAAAAAAATCGTATAAAGATAATACAAAGATTATTAGCTTACAGAGTCATTTGATCCCTGCTTTTTCAGACCAATAAGTGATTTAATCCACTTCCCAGAAGCACCCATTTTGGAGGAAAATTAAATTAAAGATTAAACAACTCAATTTTTTTTTTCCAGTATATGAAGACAAAACAGAAGGAAGTATAGAGATTTCAGCAAAAGATGTCTGAGAAAAACAGATAGAAATAGAGTGAAATTGAGAGAATAGAGAGCGATTGGAATTCTTGAAATGTGAAGATTAATGGGAGTTTAATATTGAGTACTGGGGATTTTGAATTTTGAAATAGAAAGTTGTAACGGATGGGAGACTAGTGGACTTTCAGGAAACGACGTAGTTATGGGGCTTAATTACCTAGGATTAGGGAAAGAGTGACGACTTGTGCTTCGGAAAATTAAGGTATTGGAGCGTACGGCACGACACGCGAGCCCCGCTCCTTGTGCCTATTAGACCCCATGTAGCGGTGCATAAATCAAATTTCAAGTCGTTAACTTTGAATATTAGCCCCTATTTGATTCTCATTCTTATCTCATTAAAATGAAAAATATGATCGTTATCCATTAAATCAAGTCACCAAATTTAAATTTCTAACTCTTGTATAGGGCCCGCAACGGTTGTAATTTATTCTTATTTTTCCAAAAATAAGAAACAAATTGGGGCTTAATAACTAATAATAATTAAGAAAAAAATGTTAACTTTTGTTCCTAAATAGGGTAAATTTCAAGAGTAATGTTATTTAACACCGTTGATGTCAAGCATCAATCTAGAAATCAATTGCATAACATTAAAAGATAGATTCATTTAAATACAACGTTACATGATTTATTTAATTGAATATATCAAGTGTGACCACCTAAATTGACTCTCTAGCACTATTGATGTTAAATAGCATTATTCAAATTTCATTAATGGCCACTGAATTTTGACTATAGTCGTAACTAGGAAATTCAATTTGATGCAATCAAGTTTACTATACTTTAATTGTTGTAAATTGGTTGTTCAAAATAAATGAATTGGAGAACAAAATGAAAATTTGAAATTATGCCAAGCAAATTGGCCTATGCGACCAATGACCCATGCAGAAACTACCTTAGTAATAGAAGGGAATCATGAAGTCTTGACAGTCCCTCTATCATTAGATTAGAATATTTCCTTGAATCCTAGATATGGTGGCCATCGAACACTATAATTATGCGACCGCATAGTGAAAGAAATGTGATTGTTGGGGTCTTTTTTGACAATTTTTCATTTGAATTTGGTGGCCTTTTATCTCAATTTTAGCCCCACTTCATGTGAACTAATAAAGGCCTATAAATAGGTGATCAAAGTTCAAAGAAACTACAATAAAAGTCATATGAGAATATTATTCCTTGTTCATCCAAAATTTTGTGGAAACTTTGTCTCTCTACATAATCAATTTTTTTCCTTTGACTTGATCATTTGAAGATCACTAATGCTTTTTAGTGATCTTCTTCAAAGCTTGATTATATCCTACAAAAATTTAATCCTTAAAAAGCATTGTAGAGGAAGCAAATATCGTTTGAGAATAATGATAAATTCTTCATGTTCAAGCCTTTACAGAATTTTGTTATCATCTTCTTATTTTCTATTATCCATTGCTCTATTTTTTATTAACATTAATTTAGTGCTATAAGATCGCTATTACTTAATTACAAGCAATCAGGCGAGCCCAATTGAGTTCAGTTAATGAGCCCACAAGTGTGGTGGTTAATTAATAGTGAAAATCGACTTAAAGGTTGTTTGTGAAGTGTTAATAGACGATTCATTTATAGATAAATAGAAATGAGTGGTGAATAAGGGATCAATACTTGTGAATAGCATGAAATATATTGATGGAAAGTAGTTCGATCGTTTATAAATATGAGTCAAACATGTACTTAGTTGAAAGACACCCAATGTAAATGAATGATATAAACATGCAACACTTCATCTTCTTACGTAAATGAGGCATTCATGTTCATCGACTTTGCTATTAATGTGTTTAAGCGATAATCCATGCACAATAAATCAGGCATTACACTGCTAGATCGATGATGCCTGCATGCTAATACCAGGAAAAAATTCACATCTACCATCAAACTATAACATTAACACACAATTCACATTATAATATTGAGCTACTGCATGGTAAAGAAGAGGTGAGAAGAAAATTGAAAGGATTTATGAAGAATTAGTATCTCTGATTTCTTACATCAAAAATAAAAATAAATAAATAAAGACTTGAATTATTACATTTCTCTATTATATTCTACGATTTTCATTATTTCTCCACCAAACAGAGTGAGTAAATTGCTCGTAGATTAAATTACATTGGCGTGATTACACGAAATTGAAGTTTAGTAAGCTAGTTGCAAGTATGATGACTTTGTAATGATCTAGTTGTAAGCATGGTGAAAGACAAATTTCCAGGCAGGGTTTAGTTGTCCAGTACTCAGATGGCATTACTACGAACAACTCCACTTTCATTACCAGTCTTAACAGGAGGAATTGAGTTTTCTAAAGGCGGTGCACTCGTATTGTCTACAGATTTTGCTTTCACAACTGGTTGAACATCATCATCTATTGGCCCTTTCTGCCAAAAATAAAGAAATAAAATAAATTCGTCAAAGTTTTTCAAAAATATTATACGATATACAGCTTGTTTCAGTAGTTCGACCGTGCACTGTAGTGACTAGTGTGACTGTACGTTAACGATTGTGATCGTGCATCATAATCACTTGAAATTACACACACAAGTTGCATGTATAATCGTCAATCGAAGGTAATGATCGTGATCGTGAGCACAAGTCGTTTGCATAAGTGATTATCGACCACAGGACAACATTAGAATTTATGTGCAGAAGGTTAAGAATAACTCAAACCTTAACATTAGTCAAGTCGACATGGTGTTCCTCGAGGAACTGAATTAACTCCATGAAATGCTCTTCAGTTGGGCAATAATGACCGCTGTACGCCCATATAGCCTACCAAATAGATGGATAAAATAAATAAATATACTCAAAGAGAGAGAGAGAGAGAGAGAGAGAGAGAGAGAGAGAGAGAGAGATGGGATAATCAATTATATTATCTCAAGAAAAATAATTAGTTACTTGAAATAAAGACGATAACTTGTTCCGTTTGGTTGTTTTACATTCCAACTTTAAGAGAAGTGATAAATTTATTCAGAACAGTTTTGGCTGTGTCTAAAATCACAAGTTGCTTTCAAATGTGTTTAGATAACTTATTCATTAATGAATTAATTTTCAGCAATAAAATTATTATCCATTTTAAATTTTACTTTTTTATTATACATAAACTTTAAAACTTAATCAAACATGTTTAAGAAATAGGTGTATTTTCTCAAAAGCAAGTTTTGGGCCAAAAAGAGTAGCAATGAAATATGTTTGGGAAAGAAGTAAACCTAACTTTAGGCAAAACTCTCTTATTTATGAGAAAAGTTTGAGTAATCCCAAAAAAATATGGAGTATTCAGTATTCTCTGCCACAGTTAACATGTGTAATTGAGATTTACTATTGAATGGAAACTTAGCTCCCGTTTGACCCTCATTACCTGAAAATGAAAATGAGGGGAACAGTATTTTTTTAAAAAATTAGTGGTCGAAAAAAAAGAAAAAGTTTTCGATTTACGTGTAATATTATTTTATGGAAGATTGTGTGGTTGAAAATAAAAGAAAGAAAAATGGAATGCAATGTAATTGAATTTAATGGGGATTAAACGGAAGCTTAATACATATATCAATTAAACAGTGGCAAAGAATATTGATTTCATACTTCGAGATTATTAAATTTTTTTCTCTTATTTAACTCTATCATGCTCCCTAGCATGCAAATCCGACCTCAAGTAGTCCATTACTGGCAACTATTCGTCCGGCTGCAATCGTGGCAGCTCCAGCTACAAAGCTAGAGTGCTGAAACATGCCTCTTTTCTTTTGCCCTACATACAAACTCCTTGAGGTGCTAAGTACAAACATCCATTTTATTCCTTTGCTAGTGTCCACAAATGCACCACCTTGTCTATACACAAGCTTCCCATGTTCTACAATCACTTCATATGCTTCTCTCTCTTTCTGCAAGAAAATCGACGATTTTTGGCAAATCTAGCAATAAATAGAATAGACTGACGGAAAAGGAATTCACGTAGCTGACCCCAAATAGTTATATGATGGATACTTACGGGTGCTAGATATTGAATGACTTGAGACTCTAAATCCATTCTACGGCACTCCTTGAGATCAACATCTTTACCATCACCCATATCTAGCCTTCATTTAACAATGAATTTAATGTAAAATAAAAGCAATGTTCGGTACATAGTCCACAGTGTTAGATATTATAATAGACTAAATTTTATTGTCTAGTGCTAACTTTATTGAAAAAGTCCCGAGATATGAAATTTTTCAGGATGTTGTGGAGGTGCATGTACCAGTAGAAGAATGGTTGTGAGCTCTGGCCATTACACCATGCATCATGATATAGATTAAGATTGTGACCATAACGATGGCGCAGATCAATCTGATAAAAATTACGATGAAGCATTAGGGACATGTTTGGTATGCAATTCTAAACTGCATTTGGTTGTAATTACTCACAGCTTCTAGCCAGTAATCAGTAGCTAATTCTTTAGCCTTTTCATCCTTGGACAACCCTTTTCCAACCTAGCTAAGATCAAATTTATTCCTCAAACTTTATATGTGAAGGAAAATATAGTTTTAGCTCAATTATTTAATCCTATCATAAACGAACGAGAAACATACCTTTGCTGCACAAGCTGTAGCCCGTGACCAACGAGAAAAAGCAGTCTCCAGTTTCTCAGTGTTGGAAGATGATACAAAACTTTGGTTCATAGCAGGAAAATCAGGAGCCTTCGCCCTACAATATTGCGATTAAACCAAAATTTTAAGATTAGCAGTCAGATTCCTATTTCTGCATGTTTGTAGGAACTCTGAGGGGGACGGTGTTAAAAAAAGAAAAACGAGTTAATAACTTATTCGTAGTAGTTTCTAGTTCCCTCTGATACTTTCTCCACTTCTGTTGCAGCCCGATTAAGCTCACACGTAGAATACGAAATTTCAGTACCAGATTCTACTTTTGCAGTACTTGGTTTGTCAATCTGTTCAAGAACTACATTCAAATTTTCTGCATTCTGATGTAAGATCTAAAAGTAAAGGAGTTGGAACATCCCAAAAAGATAAATATAATGATCATAACTTTAATATCTCGTGAATGTGAAGCATTATTTGCATGTTTGATACGCAGTATTTAATAGCATTGAACCTAACATTTACTATTCCACGGATTGAAATACTATGAAAATCACACCATATAAAGAGATGGAAGAGACAGATGGAAGAAATTCTTTGAATTGAAATTTCAATTACAGTGTCTATATAATGCTTTCAAAAAGGGTAGTCTAAGGTTTGATGGTTCTAGAAAAATTGTCTTTCCCATCATTAGGGTTTATTTGAATGGAGAAACTGTTTGGGAATGAATGATACAATATTAAACCCCAGTTTGGTATCCATCAAAATCAAAATTCATTTTTAACCACACATTCACAAAATAAAATATTTTACACGTAAATTCAAAATTTTTCCTACTTTTAACCACACATTCTCTAAAAAAATTACGATTCCACAATTTTTATTTTCACAATAAAAACTCTTTTTAGTCCATTTTGTCTCCCTTTAAAATAAAACACTTTAATTCTTATACTCGTTTTCAACAATACATTCATCTAATAAAGGGGGTGTTTGATAGGTATTTTTATGTAAAAATGCATTTTAGAATAGTAAATTGATGTGAAATGTGTAATTGAAAAATAAAGAAAAGTTTAATATTAATTAAATGAAGAATATATGGTTGAAAAGAAGAGAGAAAAATGCATTTTGAAAAAAATGGCTACCAAACGGGCTCAAAATATTTTACACGTAAACCCAAAATTTTTCCATACTTTTTAATCACATATTTTCCATAAAAATCATTATTCAAAACAACATTTTTTTCAAAATAATGGCCATCAAACGTAAGGTTGACGTCACGAACATGGCCTAAAGATGAGACCGAAGTAATCTTGTTCGGTGTGTTGTCTTCAATACCAAACGAGCACGATGGGGTTGAACGGTAAATGTTCAAACTACATAGCCATGGTTATTAAGATTAATGATTATGTTTCTAGATTTCCAAGTTAAATGTGTTTTTTGGATGGACAAAGGATCATTATGGGCTGGGTTTGACTGTGACATTTCTTACGACTTAACCAGAAATATGACCCCAAATCTCAGTGGGAGAAAGAAAAACCCTGTGTAAGGTTGTCATTCAACTCAATTCCTAAATTAGTCCAGATTCAAATAAATTCCTTTCACACCTTGTTCAAAGTCTAAAATATAAGCCCCATTTAATTTACATTATTTGACCAAAAAAATAAAAAATATGACCGTTATCACATCAAGTCATCATATTTAACTTTCTATCTTTTATGTGGATCCTGTAACAGCTATATTTTTCATTTTCATTCTTATAAAAATGGGTACCAAATGGAGCCGAAATCTTTAATGAAATTATTTGATATAAAAATTAATATTATTGAGGAATAAAAAACTTTAAAAAAGAATTATTTTTGTTATCTTACATAATTCAGTGAGCCCATCACCTTGATTCGAGACCAAGAAGTGACTTATTGAACCCATTATTTGAGACGACGCAGTGGTTTATTGAACTCATCACTTGGTTTATAGAGTCTATTTTATTGGGCCCGGAATGACCAGTCATAAGCAAATATAACAACAAAGAACCAAAAACGCTAGAGGAAGGGCTTGAACCTTCGACCTTGTGGTTAACAGCCACACGCTCTAACCAACTGAGCTACTCCAGCTGGTTGGCGCTGACTATTCTGAACAAAATAATTATTTTCAACAATTTCCCAGCTTTTCAGAAGCGTTGCGAATATATCCTAACCTTTAGAACCGGCACCAGACATCCCAACGTTTGAGAAAGTAGGCATCGTTCATCCATACTTAAAGAACCTGTCCAATTCGGTTGTTGAGGTAATCTAAAATGGCAAAATTGCCCCTCCCTTCAATAAAAAATAAAAAAGACAGAATGAAAAAAAGTCAAGAAAATTTGTGGTGAAAGTAATAAACATTTTCAAAAGTGCAAATCATTCCATTTTTAGCACTTTTAGGAATGGCAAAATTGTCCATTTACATATCCCCCACTTAAATAAATAATAATGGGTATATCTCTTATAAGTAAACCACATTTTTATTGTAGTTGGAAGATGGAGGATCGCATACTCAAGAAAATATTGTGGACAGGAGTGTTTAAAACCATTGAAAAATCGGTTAGAAAAATTAAAAAATACGTACAACTCAAGTTGAAATTGAATAAATGTTTAGAAACAAATAAACAACCATATAATATTGAAGAAATATTGGTACAAGGAAATTAAGAATTGGAGAAATATTTAGAATCAAAGACGACTATTTAATAATTGCAAAATTTGATAAAGATATTGCGAGAATATCAAGATATTATAAAAAAAAAAAAAGAATTAAGTCATTTGTACTTGTTTATTAATACTTTGGGTTGCCTGATTTCACCACTCCTCTCACATGAGATTGGGTCCCCATGTAAGGGTCATGACGTAGGATCCGACCCCCATATGAGAGGAGGAGGTGGGTCCGAGTAAATTAAAGTGTGAACAAACAAGTACAAATAGCATAATTCGATTTAAAAATTTTTAAATTCGATTTTGAATTCAAATCGTTAGAATTGATGGCACCCTGTGTGATGCATGGTGCCATCAGTGATTTAATTTGATCAGCTAGGCTAGTTTACGGGCTGGTGAGCGAAATGTGTGTCAACAAGCAATTCGTACGAGTTAAAAGCTGCTTTGCTTGTGCCCACATATGAGGAAGTCGACTTGGTCCAACACCCCCGAGCAGGGATCACACTGACGGAAAAAACCAAAAACAGCAATTGTCGAATCCATTTTATAATTTATAACTTAATTAAAAACGTAATCGTACTTAGTACTTTAAGCCTTGTTTGATACAAATTAAAATTCAGATTTTATAGAACTCACAATTTTTTAATCATACATTTTATTAACTTTTATCAAAATCTACTGAAAATTTGATTTTAATTCTCACCAACCAAAGGATAAGTTTGACAATCATTATAAAACTTTTTTCCTACATACTCATTTTCAACTACATATTCACCAATAAACCATTCTGAACGTGAATTCAAGATTTTTCCTACTAAACCACACATTCTCCTAAAATTACTATTCAAAACATAGTTTTTCTCATATGATGGTTGTCAAACATGGGTTAAAATTTCTTTTGCCCCTATTTGATATCACTTAAAAAAATTTTAAAATTTAAACCAAAGTCAACAATTAATTTTGACTACACATTTCATCAATTCATATCGAAATTTACTAAATATTTGATTTTTAGCTGCACCAAACATGCCTTCATTTTTTATTTTATTTTTTTTCAAAATATTCTTAATTTTATTTGTATTTTTTCTAATTACCCGACTTGGAATCCTAATCCTAATTCCACTTTGTGGTTAAGAGCCACGCACTCAAACCGACTGAGCTACTCCAACTTTGCGACTTAAAGTTAACTATTACACTTGTTTTTCATGATTATTTATTTATTTCTTATTTTGTTTTATGTAATTTTCATGATTATTTATTTCTTTTTTCATTCTTTGTCTCTTTCTTTTTTCTTTTTTTTGGATAAATATATCTATACAAAATCATGTTGACAAAATGATGTACTCACTCTGACAAAATTAGCGGATCCCATATGAATTTAAAAAATATCGACTTGTGGTCCCTACCTTCATTATGAGTAAGGAAGTTTGTAAAAAAAGATCATTTTTTATTTATTGTTGTAAAAATGAAGAAAACAGAGAGAAGTCAATAAACTTGTGTGTTTTATTAAGAATCAAAACCCTATATTTATAAGGCAGACTTAGGGATACAATAGTGATTATTTCAAGGGCTGTAGAGGTATAATTGTCATTCACCTCTAAACCCTAATAATCTTTCTTTTTACAATGCTCCCCGTAAAATGAAACATTACAAAATATCTGCATCGTTAAAACCTTATTTGATAAAAATACAATGGGAAAAAATCAAACGAAGGAAAAAGAGTACAGTTATTTTAGAGTACTAAAAATAAATGTTGCCTCATTAAAACCTTGCTAAGAAAATCCAGTGGGACAAAACCTAAACGGAAAAAAAGTACAGCTACTCTCCCTGATATTAATTACTGAAAATCTTTGAGTCGATGTGTTCCAATCTCATGAACTAATTTCTTGAATGTAAATGTTGGCAGTGTTTTTGTGAATAAATTGGTCACATTGTCATTTGAGCGAATTTATTGGATATAGATATCCCCATTCTTTTGAAACTCGTGTGTATGAAAGAATTTTGAAGAAATATGTTTCGTCCTATCACCTTTGATATAGCCTCCTCTGAGTTGTGCAATATAAGCTGCATTATTTTCATACAAAATTGTTGTACTATTATTTGTTGAAATTAATCCGCATAATGCTTGGATATGATGAGTCATGTTTCTCAACCATACACATTTTCGACATGTTTCATAGATTGCAATAATTTTAGAATGATTTGAAGATGTAGCTGTTGGCCTATGGTTAACTTCTCGTTTTGATTATAACAAACATATTTTATTTAACAATTGTATTTAAGTGATTATAGAAGTTTACGACAAGAGAAGCTCTTGCAAGTTTGGACAAAGTGGAAACCAAGCTACATATCAAGACAGCGATCACTTCAAGAAGAAATTAGAAGAAAATATATTTAGACACCTTGATTTCAAATGTTAAGGTAAAACACTTTAGTATTTGGCATATACGTCATTTAAAGCTCAAGAAACGTTTCTTTACACTTCAAACACGATTTTTGCATAAAGAAAAGCTTGAACCTATTACATACTTTTAGACATATCAAAAAGTCCGTAAAACATGTTAGAAACATCCTTCATGAATTTACATTTTGCAACAATATTTAAATAATGAAAAATCCAAAAATATGTTGATCTAGATGACGCATCAGGTAGCTAGAGGACACACCCGGTAGGTCTAGCGGACGAATCCGGTAATTGTAGCGGACGTCCGGTATGACAGGTTTGTCCAACGGTCAAGAAATCGAACGTTCTGACTTCTGAACAAAAAATGGTCAGTTGACCATCCGGTAAGTTAGCAGACGTCCGATAGAACAGAACTTTTGACCGTTTTTGTTGCTATAAATACTAGATCACTTTACATTCAATATAATACTTTAGATGAGCAATTTAAAATGAGATATCACTAATCTATCTACTCAATCACCTTTATACATCTATTTCTTCAATCTATTTATTAGAAAAACATTTGATTGATCAAACTTTTGAAAATCATTCTTATCAATGTGTTTTTCTTTTCTAACACTTGAGCTTCAATCATTGCTATCTACTAAAGTGTTAGCCATGTTCTCTTGTTATATTCAACTTCAATTATATCATTTATTGCAAGAGAAGTCTTCACTTGTATATTCCTTATCTTTCAAATTTGTGGGTCGAGTTAAAGTCCCGAAAATTTTAACATTGTAAAGGAACGGTGCTCCTTGCTTGTAAGTCACCGAAAGCGTTATAAGAAGGTTGGATTGCACCATAAGTCAATCCATATAGTGAAAAATGTCTTGCTTGTGACGAAGAGCTTGGTAACGGGGGATGTAGATCGTGATTGGATCGAACCTCCTTATTACATCGTTTGCACTTTCTTTTCCTTTCCTCTTATTACTTATGTGTTATCTTGTTTATTCATTGTTATTTGTTTGAATTTTCGCTTATTTTCGAAAAAGGATCGAATAACCAATTCATCCCCCTCTTGGTTAGTTGTTCTTGGACTTTCAATTGGTATCAGAGTTTGATGCTCTTTTTTTTTTTATTCTACAATCTTGAGTAATGGCTAATCAAGTTTTTCAAAATAGTGAGGGGCACTCTACAAACCGACCGCCATTCTTTGATGGTACCCATTATAACTATTGGAAGGCTAGGATGATGATATATGTTTAATTTATTGATTACAATATTTGGGAAGTTATTGAATATGGTTCATATGCTCCCACTAAAACTATTAAGGTAGATGGTAGACCGGACCAAACTCTCCCCAAATCTAGAGAAGAATAAGATGATGAAGATAAGAGAAAACTATCATTAAATGCCAAGGCTAAAAATCTACTTTATTGTGCACTTGATAGAAATGAATTTAATTGAATTAGTACATGTGATTCGACATATGATATTTGGCATACTCTTGAAGTTACTCATATTAGCACAAGTAATGTGACACCCCGAACTTAAGCTTCGAGGGTCACATACTAAACATAATAACTTCAGTCTTTGGTACATGTAGATACTCTTAAATAGAAGTATTACATGTTAGAAACTTATTTTCAATTTGGTAAAACAATTCTTATAAAAGTTGATGGCCGGTAAAAGTGCATGTCAACCTGAAATTATGCATTACATATACGGCCTTGGCACTATCAAGGTTAGTTGGGGCGGCAAGTTTGACAATTTTTATAAAATTCATCCCAACTCCGTTTTACATGAAATTTGCGGCATTAGAAAGAAAATTTCAAGTAGTTTTCTAGTTTAAAATATGAAAATTTCCCAAGATCATATGATATAGACGTTTTACTGAAAACAGTGAAGTATTACACAGGAAATTCAGATTGACCCCTTGACGTTAAAACCTTGATAACTCAGGCCATAGATATCCAAATTGAGTGATTCCTTCGGCCATATTTAGAAAACTCAAGAGGAAAACAGACATATTTTTATAGTCTCAAATGGACGTTTATAGAGTTAGAAATACCATTTTGAAGGTGACCCCAGAAACTGTCCCGTTTCTGCCTTTTGTCTCTTGTAAGAACAATAAACTACAAAAATGTCTCTTAACATAACATGAAAGATATAATTACAAAA